CCCTGAGCCCTGGATAAATCTGCTAACAGGTCTTATCTTCCCTTAATCCAGAGGCTGTGAACTGGTCACCGTGGGTTTATGGGGTCCATGAACATGCTGATTCAACATTACAATGCGGTTTTTATAAAGTTTGAATAGTGATTGATAATTTAACATTGGAAGATGTAATATAAATGTATGATTTCTCTTTCTCTCTCTCTTTTTCCTTTTTTTTTTTTTTTTTAAATGTAATCTGATGCTCTGACACTGCTAGGTCCACATCCTTCAGGGCAGTGACTACCCGGGCTGCCTAGCTAGCCTTTTTAGAACAGAACCTGTCCTCTGTTCTTTATGGGGCTGTCAGGCTGTCATGGTCCATAAGGCTTGGTTTCTTTTTCCTTCTCATTTGAATCCTGCAGAGGCTTCATGTGCCCTTTACCATAGACGAGATCTGAATAAGGAACTGAGCCAAGAGGGATAAAGCACATCGAGATGAGTGACGTACAGAAGTACAAAGACCTAACAAGGGTCTGCGGAGTCGAATGACCGCAGAGAACGCAGAATCCGACGAGGACAGAAGACCATGAGATGGTGCCTGTGGTGATCAATGGCTTTAGCACAAACTTCCTTTTTCTGAAGGTTGCGATGACTTCCTAATGAAATGTTTTCACACTGGTTCACGCAAACACACGATTTCACAAATACGTCCCACAAAGTAAGTACGGCAATGACTTAGATAGCCATGGCAACGTGAGCCTGAAATTTCATCCCGTGGCCCAGCGTGGCTCAGCTGTCCCGTCATTTAATTTACCCAAATCGGGGCAGCCCCATGGGTGGGTGGTTAAGGCAGTCAGCTTCTATTTGACTGGTTGTCAAGTTCGAATCCTGCCCCATTAGCTTGAAAGGCAGCTGGGCGTGTGTGGGGATGCCCCTAATCCCAACGAGGCGGAGAAATGGAGAAGGGATTGCAGTGTGACCATGCTTCATCGGGGTGCTCTCCCTGTCCCTCTCCCTCTCCCTCTCCCTCTCTCTGTTTCTCTCTGATGAAAACATACTCCCTTTGGCATTTGGGAAAAAAAGAAAAATAATAATATATGCAAGCTACTGTGTGTCTTTCTTTGGCTCAGTGCCCCACACTGTCAGGCCTCTCAGGACATTGGCAACTCTCAGTTTTAAGATAGCTATTCTTGGGGCCAGCAAATGGTGTAATTCTTACATTGCTGGACTCCCACGTAGCTAACCACATTCAAGTCCTGGACCTGGTGGCCTAAAACTTATGCCAGGCGCACGTGCCCTAACTCAAAAAAAAAAAAATGCTAAAAACAACAACAACAACAACAAAAACTTTTCTGGGCCAATTGGTGGCATGGCAGTTAAGGTGCCGGACTCCCACATGGCTAACTGTGGCCGAGTCTCAGATCTGCTGGCTTGCTTTCTCACTCTCTCTCTCTCTTTTTGTGTCTCTCTCTGGTGAGTGCACATGCCCTGTAATAAACTTAAAATAATAATAATGATGGTGATGAATAAATGAAATAAATAATTCTTTTTTTAGAAAGAGATTTTTGCTATAGGGCATGTGTGCTCTCCAGAGAGACAGAGAGACAGAAAGCAAGAAATCACCTCCCCAGAAGGGACGGCAATGCTGCAGTCCCTTCTCCTCCATTCTTCTCTCGGGATCTTAGGCACGCCAACACACGCACACGGTGTGAGTTTTAAGCTGCGGGGTCCAGGACTCAAACCACTCTGTGGGAATCCAATGATGTAACCATTAGGGCATTCACTAGTCCAAAAATTAAATAAATAATTCTTTTTAAAAAATGACAAGAGCTGGTGAGGCTGTGGTGAAAAGGGAACCCCCTTACACTGTAGGTAGAAATATAAATTAGTACAAGCTCTATGGAAAATAATATGGAAGTTTCTCAGAAACCTACAAATAGAACTACCGTGTGACCCAGTAGTCCACTCTGTGGTGTTTACCCGAGGATAGGAAAACACCCCGTTGCAAAGACACTTGCACATTACTCACAGCCACTAAGACAGGGGATCGACTAAGCGTTCAAACACCGATCACTGCGTTGGAAACCTGGCACGTCTCTACTGTGGCTCAGAGGTGAGAAAGCCTGCCTTGACCAGTTTCAGAAGACACTAGCTAGTCACCAAACCTAGGTGGGGATCGTTACCATGAAAAGCACTCTTCTTGGGCTATCTCTGCCGTCAGGGGTTAGGAGGGCCAGATCACACGGCCAACTGCGGATGGAATCTGGCACTGCATGCGAGTGCCCGGAATTCCAAGAGAATGGAGATATGGAGAAATGGAGGAGAAGGGATTGCCACGTGGCCACACCCCGTTGGGGGAGTGCTTTCTCCCTCCGTTTCTCTGGCAATAAAAAAAAAAATTTTCTCACCACAAAAATCAAAAATAAAAATAAAACAAAATACTGTGTTATTAATATTGTATAAACATTGTGCTCCTTTTGTGGACAGGTCAAAAGCCATCATCCAAGTGTGTACACAGATGCACTCTCTGTGTGTTCCTGGGCCCTGAGTTCTGGGGCAGGTCTGGCAGGTCTGGAACTCAAACTGTTGTTGGCCATGTGGGAATCCAGTGAATTAACCACCACGTCACCTGCCAGCCCACTCTTACTCTTTAGTAATTAGGCAAGGAAGTAGGATTGTCCAGACTCACCGAGATTGTTCTGACCCAGAAAACTTGTTCTCTACTTTCAGGTGAGGACTAGAACTCTCATGACAGAGACTCAGATGTTTAGCAATATTAGATCAGGGGGCCAGCAGGCGGTGTGGTGGCTGAGACACTGGACTCCCACATGGCCGACCACCATTCAAGTCCCGGACCCGGCGGCTTGCTTTCTCACTTTCCCTCTCTGTCTCTCTCTGGTGAATGCATGTGCCTTGTAGTGAATTTAAAACAATAATAATGATGATAAATAAGATGAATAGGTGATTCTTAAAATATATATATATATATGATCAAGCATAATGAAAGGATGTCATGCTTTACATTAACTGGCAGAACAGGGGTTTACAACTTGTTCCCTCTAGGGGATACTTTTGAATTGTAAAATCTGGAGGGAAATACATCTGGTGTGTAAAGAACCTTGTGAGAAATGTCCTATTTGTCACAAAAGACTGCTTCCTCTTTGGTGAGGCAACACAGTGGTGTGACAAGAAACCTAAACTCTGGAGATGGAGTGGCCTAAAACTTGGCAGCTATGTGGCCTTGGTCCAATCATTTCCCCCTTCTGTGCCTCAGTTTTTGTCACTGATAAGACTGAGATAACAGCAGCATTTAGTCGACCAGACCGTTGGTAAATGAGCGGGCCAGCCAGTAGTGTGGTGGTTAAGGCGACTGGATCCTGCACGACCATCTGAGCTATTTGAGTCCCAGACTCGGGAGCTCAAACCAACACGCTGGTCACATGTGCGTGCATCCCCAAAATCCCGAGGAGAAGGGAAGGAGAAAGGATTGTGGCATGACCAAGCTGCACTGGGAAGGGTGCTTTCTCATTCTCTCCCTCTCTGCTTCTCTGTCCCCCTCTGGTGAGTAAGGTACCCTCTGGCAAATAAATTTTTTAAGAAAGAAAACACAGAGGGGCCGACAGGTGGCATGGCAGTTGAGGGCACTGGACTCCCACGTGGCCGATCGCAGTTCGAGTCCTGGACCTGGCAACTTGCTTTCTCATTTTCCCTTTCTCTCTCTCTGTTCGTCTTTGGTCCAATAAAAAAAAATAAATGAGGGACCAGCAGTTAGTGTAATGGCTATGTCGCTGGACTCCCACGTAGTCGACCGCGGTTCGAGTCCCGGACCCGGTGGCTTAAACTCACGCCGGGCATGTGTGTGTGCGTGCCCAAGATCCTGAGAGGAGAATGGAGGAGAAGGGATTGTGGCGTGGCCATCCCCCCGGGGGGTGATTTCCTGCTTTCTGTCTCTCTGTCTCTCTCTGTCTGTCTGGTGAGCGCACGCACCCTATAGCAAAAACCTCTCCAAAAAATAAATAAATAAATAAATGAATAAATAAAGTTAAATAAAAAATAATAAATAAATAAATAAGAAAACATACAGTAAGTCCCTACAGGGAACACTCAAGATGGTGTCCAGTGATTCTCAGCACCTAAGATTTAAGTCTTTGAACAGTACCCTCCCACAATGAGTCATGATTGATCTGTGGGTAGAGTATCACACACACACACACACACACACACACACATGGAGTACGATGGCAAGACAAAGTCATTAAAGACACAGCAACTTCCACATTGGTGTCTCTTGACCCTCTGCTCTGTGGGAAGCCAACAGCCATGTCATGAGCGCATGTGAGCAGTCCTGTGGAGAGGCCCACATGGCAAGAAACTGGGACCTTCCCCCCCCTACTAGCACCACTAGCACCCCCTTGTCAGTTGTGTGAGTGAGCCACCCAGGAAGCACCTTTTCTAGCCTGGGTAAAGCCTTCAGATGCCTGCGGCATTGGCTGATCACGTTTCTTGTTTTTTGTTTTGTTTTGTTTTTTCCCTGAGAGAGAGTTTTGCTATAAGGCACGTACATTTGCCAGAGAGAGACAGAGACAGAAAGTGAGAAATCCCTCCCCCCCTCAGGGGGATGACCATACCACAATTCCTTCTTCTCCATTCTCCTCTCAGGAGTTTGGGCACACTCACACACATGTCCAGCTTGAGTTTCAAGCCTTCAGGTCTGGGACTCAAACTGTAATGGGCCTGGTGGGACTCCAGCACCTCAACCACTACGCCACCTACTGGCCCCATACTGCAATGGGCCTGGTGGGACTCCAGCACCTCAACCACTACGCCACCTACTGGCCCTTTTGGCTGACATCTACCACAGCATCATGGGAGATCCCAAATGAGAAACACACACATAAGTTATTTCTCAATTCCAAGGAAACTGTGGGAGAAAGATTTATGACTGTTTTGAGCCACAAGGTTCAGGAGTGATGCGGGATATGGCAGGAGGTAGCAGAGCCCGTGATATTGCTGTGAGTGACAGTTTCTGGCTTCAGAATGACCCTCACTCTTTAGAGGGTCGCCTTCGCTTGTTCTCATTCATCTCCAAGTCACAGCAGCTGGTATCAGTCCTGCAGCTAAAAGGATGTGGGCTGGAATCACTTGGTAATGGCAGCTTTGAAGAGTCAGCTGGAACAATGTAAGCTGATTTTGATATCTTCTTGAAATCATTAAGCAAGGTGGAAGACTCTGGAATAAAAAGGAATTATGTTTAATCCTTAGGATAAATCATTTAATGACTACTTTTATTGCCAAGAGGATTTAAAAATATCAATTGACAGGCCAACCTTGTGAGCTAATGGTTCAGGGAGCCAGATCCCACATGGCTGAGCACATAATTCAAGTCCTGGCTCAGGCAACATGAAAAAGCATGCCATGTTGGGGGAACCAGCAGTTAGCATAATGGCTATGTCGCTGGACTCCCACGTAGTCGACCGCGGTTTGTGTCCCGGACCCGGTGGCTTAAAACTCACGCTGGGCGCGTGTGCGTGCGTGCCCAAGATCCCGAGAGGAGAATGGAGGAGAAGGGATTGCAGCGTGAACATCCCCCCTGGGGGGTGATTTCTCGCTTTCTGTCTCTATGTCTCTCTCTGTCTGTCTGGCGAGCGCACGCGCCCTACAGTGAAAATCTCTCCAAAAAAAAAAAAGCATGCCATGTTCATGTGCATGCATGCCCAACCCTGACAGGATGGAGAAATGGAGGAGAATGTATTTCGGCAAGATCTCACCCTGTCGGAGGTGCTTGCTTTCTTTTCCTTCCTCTCCGTCTCTTTGTCTGTCTTTGGTATATACATGTACCCTCTGGCAAAATAACAAAAAATAAAATATCAGGCAAGTGGAGTTGGCAGGTAGTATGGTGGTTTAGGTACTGTACTCCCACATAGCCAACTACAGTTTGAGTTCCTAACCTGGCAGGTTGCTTTCTCATTTTCCCTCTCTCTCTCTCTGGACAAATTGAAAAATCATGATAATGAATAAAGTTAAAAATACAGTAATTGGGTTTTTTGTTTGTTTTTGGAGTTTTTGCTATAGGGCATGTGCGCTCACCAGAAAGACAGAAAGAGACAGAAAGTAAGAAATCACCCCCCAGGGAACCAGCAGTTAGCGTGATGGCTATGTCGCTGGACTCCCACGTAGTCGACCACGGTTCGCGTCCCGGACCCGGTGGCTTAAAACTCACGCCGGGC